AATTAGTAACATGTAACATAGATATTACATTAATAATAATAATAATACACATATAATTAACAATTAAATGTGTACACAAATGAATATGATCCCAGGCAAAATGTGTTCAATAGAAAGGAAAGTCATAGTTGCCATAGAACAGTTGAAAGACAGGCCACTTTCAGCCAGGGGAGGAGGAGGTGCTTAATGGAAGAGGTGCCCCTGGACCTGGCCCATGAAGGAAGAGAAGCTTTTTAAAAGCCAAGAATATGGATAAAAAGTAGTCCAGACATGGGGAACAATAACTTGTACCTACACACAGAGACAGGAGAAGTGAAATAGACTGGGGAGATTCTAACAGCCCAGTTTGGTTTGAATATGGAATGCATGAAGAAGAGTTGTATTATGAAAGTCTGGAAACGTTAGGCTGAAGTCAGATTGTGGAGGGTTTTAAATACCAGTCCAAGCATTAATTATTTCATTTTTTTATATTTAAAAAATTATTTATTTTTAGTTTTCAACATTCATTTCCATAAGATTTTTAGTTTAAAATTTTCTCCTTTTTCTTCTCCTGCCCCCTCCCCAAGACTGCATGTAGTCTGATATAGGCTCTACTTACACATTCATGTTAAACATATTTTCACATTAGTCATGATGTATAGAAGAATTAGAACTAATGGGAGGAACCACAAGAAAGAAGAAATAAAACAAAATAACAAAAGAAAAGGAGAGCAAATAGTATGCTTCCATCTGCATTCAGGCTCCATGGTTTTTTTTCTGGATGTGGGTAGCATTTTCCATCATGAGTCTTTTGGAGTTATCTTAAACCTTGCATTGCTGAGAAGAGTTAAGTCTATCAAAGTCAGTCATCACACAATGTGGCTGTTACTGTGTACAATTTTCTTCTGGTTCTTCTCATTTCACTCAGCATCAGTTCATATAAGTCTTTCCAGGTTTTTCTGAAGTCCTCCAGCTCATCATTTCTTATAGCACAATTGTATTCCATTACATTCATATGCCACAACTTGTTCAGCCATTCCCCAACTTATGGGCATCCCCTCAATTTCCAATTATTTACTGCCACAGAAAGAACTACTATAAATATTTTTGTACATGTGGGTCCTTTTCCCATGTTTATGATCTCTTTGGGATATAGTCCTCAAAGTGCTATTGCTGGGTCAAAGGGTATGCACATTTTTATAGCCCTTTGGGCATAGTTCCAAATTGGTCTCCAGAATGGTTGGATTAATTCACAACTCTACCAACAATGCATTAGTGTTCCAATTTTCCCACATCTTCTCCAACATTGATCATCATTTGGTTTTGTCATGTTGGCCAATCTGATAGGTGTGATGTGGTACCTCAGAGTTGTTTTAATTTGCATTTCTCTAATTAATAGTGATTTAGAGCATTTTTTTTCATATGACTGTAGATAGCTTTAATTTCTTCCTCTGAAAACTGCCTATTCACATCCTTTGAAAATTATTTTATTTTGAAGTCATTAGGGATTCCCTGAAATTTTGAGCAACGGAGTATACATTGGATAGATTATTTCTGCAATAATGTGAAGAGTGACTTGTTGAAGAGTGATAGGAAGAATTGAGACCCTTTGGAAGGCTATAGAAATATAATAACCCAGTTGGGTATTAATGAGGGTCTACACTGGGATATTGGCTGTAGAAGGGGTGGGGGAGGGGTGTTTTGTGTGATATTGGAAAGGTAGAATCAACAGAACTTGGCAACTTGCTTGTATGTAGGGGCACATGCTAGGGAGGAGGGAGAATCAAAAAGGATTCTGTGATAATGAGTCTTAGTGATTTGAAGGAAGGTTGCACCATCAACAGAAACAGGGACGTTTTTGGCGGAGTAGGATTCGAAAGGGTAATGATCTGCTTATTGGATCCGATACTTAGAGACAAAAGGGACCAAAATCATCATCTGGTCCAACATCCTCATTTTATAGATGAGGAAATTGAGGGCCCAGGAAATTCAATGACTTGTCCAAGATCATATAGTTTTCAATCATTAGAGACGTCAGTCAAATCCAAGCCATCTGATTCTAAATCTATCAACCAGAAATAGAACCAGTGGTGAAAATGTGGAAGAAAGAAGATTGAAACTTCTTGTAAGGACAAATCTCCATTCAAAAGTGGCATAGAGTGGCTTAAGAGTAGTAAGACCTTAGGGTTTTGAGGTGAAAAGGACATGGGAGATCATCCAGTCCAACTCTTTTATTTTATTTATGAGGAAATCCGAAGTTCACATAGACAGGTTAAGTGGCTCAGTAAGGCCACACAGGTAGATCTGGGGATGCAAAGAAAAGGCAAAGCAATAGCACTTGCCCTCAATGAATTTGCATTCTAATTGGATACATAACATGCAAAAAAATGTACATAGAAGGTATATACAGGGTAAATGGAAGGTAATCTCAAAGGGAGGACACTATTGGTGAGAGTAACTGAGAAAGGCCACCTCATTCAGATGAATCTTGAAGGAAACCAGAGAAGCCAAGAGGTGGAGATGAGGAGAGAGAGACTTCCAGGTATGGAGGACAACTAGTGAAAAGGCCTGGAGTTGGGAGATGAAGGGCCATGTTCCTCCATGGCAAGAGCCTAGAAAATGGGTGATTGGAAATGGGGGGGGAATCATCAGAGACAGACATCACTCTGCCATCAACTGAGCTCCCAGGTGGGTAGAAATCATTCTTTTCCACTCCACTGACAGGCCAAGAACTGCCACCATCAGAGCAGTGGCTCATCAAAATTGCTGACAGGTGTTGCCGCACATGCAGAGCATCCATCTTCAGGTGTCTAAGTGAAGGAAGATGCTCTGAGTTTGAACAGTATTCTAGCAAGTCTTGGGCTCCCCATCAGGTACTTCTGTACTTCCTCACTTCATCAAGTGCTGACAATGCATTTGCCCCTGCTCATTCTTCTCCCTTGCCCTTAATAAGAAGAGAGAGTTAATCACTGTAGCAATTTATGTGCAAAAGATAGAGCCAGAGGCAGAGGTATAGGCTATTGTTCTAAATAGTTTTTTTTATGTTCAAGGATGATAATAACATCAATATTTCTCTTTGTAGAATAAATTACAGCCCAACCCAGTAGCTTCAGGAAGCCCATCCCTTCAGAAGCAGGGAAAAGGTTAACAAACGTACTTGTAATAAACCTTGCTGTAGAAGTGTGAGTGGGTCTTGGGAACTTCAAAAATTCATTTTCCCCCTAAGATTGGGTCATAAATCTTTCTGGAGCATTGGATGAGGAAGCAGTCTAAGAAATTATCATTAGAAGAGAATCCAGGAGGTCATGGCTGAGAGAGAGAAGAACAGAGTTTATAGATGCAATGAATGCTTAGTATGACAGCAAAAGATGTGTGCTCCGAGAAAATTGAAAAAACAAAAAATAGGAGTAGAAACTCAGATAGGTCAAAAACACTTCCCTTTGTACTATGGTGCCTTCATCCATTATTAACATTCTAGAAGGAAAATAGGATAATAAAAGGAGTAGAAAGAAACCAACACTTCTTGTTGAGAGGCATTGCAAAGTAGATGACATGTTTGAGGGGCCACCAGACTTAGGATTAGCCATTGTACACATATTGGAACTGAGAGAAAAGGGAAGAGCTAAAAGTGAGAGAAGGAGAGAGAGAGAGAGAGAGAGACACTCACACACACACACACAGACAGAGACAGAGACAGAGACAGACAGACAGAGAGACAAAGAGAGAGAGACAGAGACAGAGAGAGACATACACACAAACACACAGAGACAGAGTACAGAGATACAGAGAGAAGCAGAATAATAGTCAGTGGTAATCCAAGATAATTGGGACTGATCAGGGTAACAGTAGGAAGGGAAAGTTGAGGAGAGAAGATGGGGGCTTAGAGTTGTTTAAACAAAGTAAATGCACAGACTAGGGGGTCACCTAGAAATACATTTGTATATTGGGTGGTGGAAAAATCACTTAATATCTTGAAGAACAGATAATTAAACACATTTTTCCCTTCATATTAGACAAATGGGGAAATTCCAGGAGAAAACACTATATACATTGTCAGAAATTGTTTCTGTATAGAATTAATTGTTTTTCTGCATCACAAGGTCAAGTTCCATCTTGAGTGGGAAATGACTGATGTACAAAGACAAAGGTTTCTATTACATATTGGGGATAAGGAAAGTGGTATACCACTAATTTCATGTATATAGTTACATCTCAAATGAAGAAATTTCTTCTACCAATTCAGGGAAAGGACTTCTCTACAACTTAGAGTTACCTAGACATGGAGAAGTTTGATGAGATGTCCACACAACCAATATGAAGACACATTAACAAAACATATATAAAAGTAAAACAAATTCTAATTTCCTAATTTTTTCATTAGATGTTCAAAGAAACATCTAAAGCACCTAGGCCAGGTATTATCATCTTCATGTTAAAGTGAAGGCAATGGATGTTTATATAGGTCTAGTAACTAGCTCAAGTTCATGCAGCAGGTATGCAGATGAGTTAGGACTTGAATCCTGGACTTCTACCTTAGCATTCAGTGATATGGACTCAAAGTCACCAGTTTTCACTGGCATCATGTTATAATTAGATAAAGTTACTGTGTCAGAAAAAAAGAGATGAGAGACCATTCTTCTGACTTATGAATTATAATCAGATGCCCATGTGAAGAGATTACTTTGCATAATTATTGCTGATGCTTCTTGGATGATTAGGAACATCCTTGAAGACAAATTTTCTATTGTATCAGAGAAAAAAGAATCCAGTGGAGGAACAAACTAAATAAGATTCATTGTGATACTTAACAACCATTAAGTTGTGTAATTTCCTATAGGACCCATAGTATAAACAGTAACAAGGAATGACGCTACCCCAGGGGCTCAATTTCACCCTGTGGGGTAGGACAGGTATATAAAGACCCAGAAGAGGAGGCATTCTCAGACTCCTAGAAACTTCCCTCTGCTACTCCCCAGAAACCTCACCCACCAAGACCATGGCCAGCTCCTGCTGCTGTGCTCCCACCTGCTGCTGTGCTCCCACCTGTTGCCAGCCATCATGCTGCAAGACAGTCTGCTGCAGAACAACTTGTTGCAAGCCATCTTGTTGCATGTCCACCTGCTGCCAGCCTTCATGTTGCCAACCTACCTGCTGCAAAACAGTTGGTTGCCAAACAACTTGTGAGACAACCTGCTGTGTGCCTAGCTGCTGCCAACCTGGCTGCCAGCCATGGTGCTGTGACTCTAGCTGCTGCCAGCCTTCATGCTGTCAACCAGCTTGCTGCAGAACATTCTGGTGCCAGATGCCCTGCTGCAGGCCTGCCTGTTGTGTCTCCAGCTGCTGCCATCCATCCTGCTGTTGATCAACTTGCTTTCAAAAAAGTGCAGTGATTCTACTTAGAGGCAGCCATCTTCCTACTCTAC